CGGCTGATTTTTCTGCGTACGTATTTGTTGTTCAGCTGTAAAATAACATTTTTGGGAAGACATTTTCAGTGTGCAAAGGGATACCAAGTTCCACCTTTGCATTCCAGTGTCTTTTGCCACCATTTATTTTCTATTAACCACTCTCCTTAAAATAAAGGGACCTCATCCTTGTGGTCTACTACATTCTGTGCCTCATATTAACTAGTTGTTAGATGTCTGGAGAGGCTCCCGAGATATTCTCTGGTTGGCAAGTGTTTGGTGCTGTGCACTTGTTAGTGTTGGATTTGGAAATTGTCTTCTCCATGTTAAGTAAAAAGCATAGGGTATTGCTATTGGAAGGATGCTTCTTTCTAAATATAGGGAATTGCATGTGTATGAACTACTAAAAGCTGATATTAATTTTCTTCTCGTCATTGTTTTAACACTTCTCTCTCTCTCTCTCTCTCAAACACACACAGTCATTTTCTACAAGTATGATTGTTTGAAAACTGGAATTTATCATTTTTCTCCAATATTTCCAGGAAATTATGGGATGCGTTGACTGGAGATGAATTGCACTCATTTGAACACAAGCATATTGTTCGAGCTTGTGCCTTTTCGGGGGTAGAGCTTAATTGTTTTTCCTTAAGAATATTTTTCCCTAACTATAAATGTGCAGCGTTTAATGCTTATGCCCATTCCAATGTTATTTCTGATAGGGATGGCCTGAATGGAAAGTACTGTATCGGCTTTGTTTCTCATGGGCAATTTTGTTTTGTGATGATTTATAAGCACTACTTTCTATTAGATATTATTGCATGGACGTTGTATTTCTTGTGATGCCAGTTGGTAAAGTTCTATCAAGGTTGTGTGCGTTAACCAAATATAAGAATGCTTCCAAAGCAACCGACTTTGAAAGAAATGCATTGATTCAATAGTCTTAATTTTTTTTTTGAAAAGTGTGTACGTTTCTTCTACCATTGAAAATATTTTGCATACTTTTACATGCTCATTCTTCTTTTTCTATGTTCTGTTTCTCTCGTGTAGCTTCATCACTTGAATCATTTGCAAGGTCTAATTGCATATCCTTTTTTGTTTAATGGACTGAAGTTGCAAAGTCATTAAGTGGGCTTCAGAGAATGCTTTTTCATTTTTCGCGAGACCTTCACAAATTTTAAAAATTTGTTTGCACTCAATACATAATATTGAGTTTAGATTGCAATTAGCTTCTTGAGGCTTGCACTTTCATTCCTGGTTCATTAATATGCTCTTCATATGAAGATAAATTTATCTATCTTTGCTTTTCCCTTTTATCATCTGTTTGCATCATCCGAGTAAATTGTCAATTGTACAGGATACACATCATCTACTCACGGGTGGAGTTGAGAAAATCCTTCGCATATTTGATTTGAATTGTCTAGATGCAGCACCAAGAGAAGTGGATAATACTTCTGGTTCAATTAGAACTGTTGCATGGCTCCACGGTGACCAGATCATTTTAAGTTCTTGCACTGATACTAACGGTGTTAGGTACAAATGTAATCTGTTGGTATCATCTTTTCATTTTCTGCTGTGGTTTCTGTAATTTCTTTTGCGAGTTCTGATATTTTTCGTAAGTACCATTATTGTCTTGAATTAGTTGTCAGTTTAGGTCTTTGAGATAAGGTGTTTGATAGGTAGGCTATTATCTGCTTGCCTTGAGCACTGACTTAGTTTAATGGATGCATGTCAGTTGTTAAGTTTAAAAGTCAAGATAGAAAGTTTAGGGCACTTTGCAGGTTATACTGGTCCGATAGTGGACATTATAAATGTTTTCTAGTATAGCCAGATAGAAAATTGTAAAATTTTCCAGATATTTGATGGGATATTACTAAGTAAACAAAAGAGAAAAAAAAGTACAAGTACATTTAGTTTACGTTATTCGTAAATGTTCCATGTATACACACACATAAATCTATCATTTATCTACCTACCTACCTGCTTATATATATATATATATATATATATATAATATGCATGAATGTTGCATGCATGTAGACTGAAAACCATGTCTTCCATATTTGATTGTTTGGTGTATTCTCAAACCTTTGATCCACTAGTTTATTGAAAATAAACTGCAGATGTGTAGGAAAACATCCATTGTTTGTCTTCATTTTTATCGAAGCATTGATTTTCACACAATTATATGCTTGTGTAAAAATGATTTCCTGAACTTTGTATCTCTATAGGTTGTGGGATCTCAGAAGTGGCAAAACAGTTCAAACTCTTGAGACAAAATCACCTGTCACAAGCGTTGAGGTGAGTTGTGATGGTCGCTATATAACCACAGCTGATGGATCTACTGTTAAGTTCTGGGATTCAAATCAGTAAGTTCTTAGCTGGGCTGTTTGTGCAGGACTTTATTCTTTTGCCACCATGGCCGCTGACATTTATATTGCTCTTTTTAGTTTTGGGTTGGTTAAAAGCTACAACATGCCATGCAATGTAGAATCGGCTTCATTGGAACCAAAGAATGGCAATAAGTTCATTGCTGGGGGAGAAGACATGTGGGTGCGCGTGTTTGATTTCCATACCGGAGAAGAGCTTGGTATGTTGAGTTTGTGAGATGAACAGATATATCAATTCAGACTATATGTCTGGGTCTTCAATATTTGCTAATGCCAAAAGTGGACCATTTTGGCAGTCTTTGAAGGCCTCACGAGGGTGCATTATGACATGTTTCCCAACCTGAAACAACACAATAGAATGATAAATATGCTGCTAGTCAATAAATAAAAAATATAAAAATCCAGAAACGTACAGGGTGGTGGATCCATCTAGCAGATGAGCCATGTTATGTAGTGTGTGAAACTGATTGTATGTTCTTTTTTACTGGTGTTATTCAGGTTGTTAAGAGTTCAAATGTTGCTTTTATCACTGTAGGTTGCAACAAGGGTCACCACGGTCCTGTCCATTGTGTACGTTTTGCACCGGCAGGGGAATCCTATGCCTCAGGATCTGAAGATGGTACCATTAGAATATGGCAGACAAGTCCAGTGATTCGTGAAGAGAGTGATCAGGTACCTGGAAATGCACCGAATCCCAAAGTGAAGGCTGTGGCTGATGAGGTTAACCGTAAGCTCCAGACCCTTCAGGTCGGCAAGGAAGGGGACACCCCAGAGATGGGATAAGCAACCCGATGCTCGTCATAGTATTAAATTTGTCAAGGGCATTCAACAAGTGTTTTGTTTTCAGCTTTGCTTTCCAGGTTGTAGGATTATGGGTGTGGGTGTTGTTTGCTCCTTGTTTCTCTACGGAAATAAAATGAACTCTCCTTTCAAATTTCCTTGTATATTCCTCTCGAGTTCGGTTTGCAAAGTTGAATTCAGTTTGATAATTTTCAAAGTCTAATTTGAGCTTAAAAATTTTCATCTATGGAGGAAGCTGAATTTTAGTATTCTAATAATCAAGTCTGAAGGTAAGTACCTGAGTCGGATTTACTCTTTACAAGGTAAAAGAGCGTAATTCCTTTTCCAACTGATCGGAAGCCATTGGATTTCTGCAAAAGCTCAACTAAATAATTAACGGAAGTATAAACTATTTGATAATGAAGGAAGGGAATATGAATGCTTGACCTTTCAGTAACCTGATAATAAATCTCCCTTCACAGGTTACACCTGTGGGTTTTCCCTGACTTCCTGTTTGGTATTGGCACCTGTCAAACAACATTTTCAGTTGTCTGCAAAACAATCAACTTGTATAATCCGCTCAGATGTCCCCTTTTCTGACTGATCTTATCCCCGACATACTTTGTCGGCTACCGGTGAAGACACCACTCTGCTTCAGATGCGTGTCCAACAAAGCAATGGGGTTCCTTCATGGACGGCTCACATTTTACCACACTCCATCTCCATCAGTCCTTGAAAACCAACACCAACATCAAGCTTTTCGCCGACAATTGTACTGAAATCGATGATAATACTTATTCGGTGGACTTCGACTCCCTCGGCAACTTGGTGCAGTTTCCTCCCACATTCAGATGAAATCACCAAGTAACGCTCCAGAGTTGTGGTTTCTTGTAATGGATTGCTTGCCATATACCATCGTGGGGCAGGCATTGCTACCATTGGATGAAGATATAATCACGGATCATGATTCCATCCGTGGATACGACTATGATGACAGTACCATACTCTGATTCGGGTAAGATGGTATCACTGATGACCATAAGGTGGTGATAATGCTGAGATCCAAGAACCAAATCTTCTACGTTAAAAGCATTATTTCTGTCCATTGGTAAATATGATTGATTTTTACGAGCTCAAGTACTCCGACGTTCCATGTATTGATTTCCTTCATTTTGTTTTTGGAATCATTGATGTCAACGATCAGATCTTAGCAGTCCATTCATGCAATTATTGAAATTCAAGGCGCTGCCCTGCATTCCTTTCTCCAAGTTGATTCCGTCTTCTAAAAAACCTTAAAAACTCGGGCTTCACCAATTCGTGTAGTGATTTTCATCAGTCATTAAAAAAAACACCGTTATATATATATACTTTAGAAATCTAAATGCATATAAGATAATATCTATTCAAAAAATTCTTAATCTATTGCAACTGTTCAAACATGTATCCTGATCCTCTACAGAGAACAATATTCCCTTTTAGATCAGAATCTACTTAATAGGTTCAACTTTAATGAGATTATTAAGTACATAAAAACAAAACCTATCTTAAATGAGAATTTTGCTAACAACGTTCTGGCATTTGTTGGTTTCCATGAGTAATTAACATGACCAATCCTGCGCACACAAAATAGGGTTTCCGCATGGTATTGACATGGTTATGCTCAACATTTACTTTTCGGCCCAACATTAGACATTTAAAGAAATAGTGGCAGATGGAAAAAACTAAACAAGATTGATATATAAAACATAACTTTTAGTCCTAGTCATTAGGATTTTACAACAGATTTGAAGATATGTTCAATTACAAAAAGTTTATATAATCGGTGATTCATCACCCCCACCAAATAAGTAAAGATTATGCTAAACAGTATTAGCTGGCTTAAAATTGTGTGTGCATTTGTCTCTTTCTCAAGCGTGAGACTTGCACGATTGAGAACAGAAAGCTAGAAGTATTCACATGGTTGAAGCTCGATGAACAATATTTCACCTGTACACTCGAACCAACTCTAGCAAGAGCCTTATCATATCCACCACGAGAGTTGAGTTTTCGGATGCCCTAATAGAGTGAAGTCAATAAGATTGCTCTTGAAAAACATAATTCTAATTTTTATTTTCTAATTAATTGATGTAAAACAATTGATTCATGTACCATATTTAGAGCTAAACAATTGAATTAGGCAACAAGACAATATCAAATTGAAATTTGACCTCAGTAGAAACAACAGTCAAGACTACTCTATCAAGCAAGCCTCTGCTTCGTGATCTGTGTCACAAGTGACAACAAATATGGAGGAATCTAAACCAAAGGCCAATTAGCCATGGTAGGTTATGATTATGAGTACAAACAGGCTCTTAGATAACATACCTCAGCCAAAGCATTCACATGTGCCAAATAAGTAGTTAACAGGTAACCACCCAAAAGTCTAGAAAAAAAATGTTAAAGGTGGAACAAGAGTAAATAGAAAATACTATCAAACAGAACTTACCAATCGGAAGGAACCTACCTAGTACCGAAAGGTATGCATTGAAGCACTTGAAGTCCATACTGCATGCAACAACAATAAATAGGAATCCCATATCTAAATTTCTACACTCTTCTAGTCAAACATCAATCTAAAAGGTCTCAAGAACTGATCAAGGGAAGGGAAAAGAAAATGTTATCAGCATGACGGATTCTCATGAACTGTACATAATATGTGAAAACCAACAAGTTAACCACAGCATGAATCTTTTGTCATGCAGAATCCGTGGAAAAGAAAATATATAATTATACGGTACAAGAATTTTTCTTACAGAACATCACTCTCATGGGCAGGCAATGATTTTCAACTGGGAGTTCTTTGAAGGGGCACAGAAGCACCCATCTAGCAATATCAGACAACCACTTGCGAAGTTAAAAATATCATTTGATCATGGTACATAAATTATAATTGTCTGATATCATCAGTATGTACAAATTTGTTCATACAATTAGAATGCTTAAGGCCACAAATTATAATTGTACGGTTCAGAGGTGATAAGATATTATAGTCTACTCTAGTTAATACAAGTCCCCCCCCCCACATAGAGTAGGGAGGTTCAGAGCAATTTATAAATTATGCAGCCTAAAATATTCTATTATTGGATATGTTCATCCAGATAAACACAAATTTATGGTTATTACAACTTGAATTCTTTAACTGCAACTGCAACCTATCGATTTACAAATTAAAACTGAAGGGTGTTTTTTTAAGATTATCTTGATTTATCAGCAGCGGCAACAGATAAATGACCTATACCAGCATTTAAAAAGGCAAACCAAAATTCAAAAAGATATATAAAAATATCCGTACCAAAAGCAGGGTTTAAGGGATCCATTGGGGAATAAAGCATAGATGTTGCCCACTGGTCAACAGCAAGAGGTGCCAAATTTAACCCCAATCATGGCTTTTGAAGCTATGTATAGATGCCTCCAACAGTGACAATGAGATACTCTGAGAAAGCACGAAGACATTTCCCAACATAAATTCCATAAAATGCTGAAATAAAGGAAGTATAATATTTATACCCACCTTTGAAGGATGATTTGATAACATACACAAAACTGCAGATATATACCGGGTAGTATCCATAAACCAGCTAGCACCACATCATAATTTACAAGTGCCAAATTGATGAACATGGACAAGATCAAAGGTAATCTGAGACAAAAAAGTAGAAATTAAATATTTCTAGCTACCATGCTCTACTAGATGCAATATTCTGAAACTTGGGAACTTACACAGTGGAATCCATCATAGAGTAACCTTCCCAGTAGCTAAAATGTACTTTCACTAATTTTCATTCAAATGCTATTTTTTAACAGTCAACATTATCCCTTAGAGGAAGCAGCCTTCTACTCTATTGAATTAATAATGACACAACCACCAAACAGTACCATGCAACTACGAAATCAGCAATGAGGAAAAAAATAAAGAATAATAACTTCACACATAATAATGAGAGATGAGAATAAATCATTTTATCTTTACATATCTGCAGCACCGCGTAAAACATAACACTGTTGTATGATTAGATATAATTATTTCATTGAATCTAGTAACAAACGAAAGCCTATTATCATTGTGTCTCAACTTTCTTAGCTCCCTTAGATGGTCATCATTTGAAATATTAAGAGTAGAACGTAGAGTTGTCACCTTTGCTTCTCCTTCCCATGTCAAAGACCCAGAAGCATACAATGCCTCAAGGGCCTGCTGATAGGCATGTAACTCCAAACTGCGGAAATCCATTCCCAATCCTTCACTAATGCAACCGAACTAGTTTCTTCTCCACATTTCCTTTCACAATAAGAGTAGACAACGCTAGAAGAATCCTCCAAGTTCTCACAACCGTTTGTTACATAAGTAGGAGACAAGTTAAGACCATTATTTCCTAAACCACTACAGCTACCAACAGACGATGCACAACTCAAGGTATCACTGGTATCATCAATTCTATAAAAGGATGAAGGCGTACATCTTTCACCCAGTATATTATTTGGGGAATCAATCGCATCTACCTTTTTAGAAGCTGGAGAAGGAAGCCAAACTATTATCCTTTTACCATCAAAACTACCCTTTGCAATAGCCCTCTTCTTCTGCCCACCAGAACCCGAGAAGCCAATCGAAGATCTTTTCCTCTTATGTGAGGAATTTGACGAACCCTGTTATCAAAATAAGATTGGGGTAAGAATAAATAACGTTTAATAAATAAAACACATGAAGAAATAAATTAAAAAATATATTGTGAAAAAAAATACCTTTCCAACGAGGAACCACTTGCCATCTTCCCAAGATTGTCGAACACGCAGTCGAGATCGATGTACTTCCAGTTCTATATTCGATCCAAGAATCCTCACAGAAAAGTTGTTTCCACCGAAAACAGTAACAATCAAGGCCGGTTTCCAGCACAGGTCGTCGAACACCTCTACGATGTCGCCAGGAACCCAATCAACGGTCCCGTTTGTAGGTGGAGGGCAAGGCCTAATCGCTTTTCTGGGGACTCTCTCCACCGTCCCCTCCTCGCCAGTGACTGGAAACCAACCGCACCAACGCTGTAAGTGTGGCCGTTACCGGAGATGATCTCGGCGCAGCGCCAGGCACCTGTTGGTACCTCCCTCTTGGTAAGGACCTCGACTTTGCTACCTTTATTAAATCTCATGATCGGCGAATTTGATTAAAAACAGTGAAAATAGGGTTATAAATATAAAAACCAAGAAACCACAGAATGAACAAATCTGGGGAAGGAAAGTTAAGATGGAGTTTATATAGGGATCAGGGTTTTATTAAGAGTTTATGATAATCGGACGGTTAATAAAGGAGAGATCATCCAATTATCCGACGGTCAGGACGAGGGTGCTTAGGTTAAGCCGTTTCTTGCCAACTAAAATAACTCGCAGGTGGAGTTAGTTGCTTGTTCATAGTTTATTTTATAATTATATATATATATATATATGTATGTATACACTTATAATTTAATTTATGATAGTTATTTTTTATACGAATTAAGCAATATTTGTAATAAAAAATTATTGTTATTTCTTGAAGTATTAAATTTAAGCATTATAAATGTAAGGAGTATAAACATTCAATGCTTATTATGATTGAGAGTTGTTTTTGAATATATTAATAAAAAAAACAATTGATAGTTATTTTATGGTAAACTATCTTATTAGTCACTAAATTTTAGTTTATATATCAATTTGATCACTAGATTTTAAAATACTTCAATTTTAATACTAAAATTACGAGATATTTTTTATCAGTAGACTATTATATCATTAATAACATGATGAAGTGATTATTTTTGCCCCTGTTTTCTAAATTTTTTTTGACATTTCCTTTAATTTTTATGGTCAATCAATCACCACTTGTCACTCGTTTTCATTCGTGATAAAATTGTACCATAAAATTTATATTTTACTATTTTTTTGTTTGAATTTATTTTTTTGGAAATTCATTCAACATCGATGAAAATTCATTCAAATGTTTGACATTCTAAAACTTTAATCTCCTTCGATAGTCGTCTGATTAGGCTACTTTTGAGGTATGTGTCTTCTTGAAAAAATGTTTCTTACTATTCATATTTTGAACAACCACCGTGAACTCTCAAATATGAGAAAATCCATAAACCCCCAAATTCATGAATTTTTTATGTATAATTTCGTTACTTTTAAAGAGATTTTTTAAAAAAAATAATCTACATTAATGAAGTGATAAAGAACAATGAAATCAACGTTTAGGGTGGCCGTAAAAGATTGAAGAATTACAGTTTTTAAAGATGGTAGAAAATGAATAAAAAAAATTAATTTCATGAAGAAGATGAGGAGATAAAATATAAATTATTTTTTTACTTCCATATCGACAATGAACTATTATGTAATTCATGCCTTAACAATTTAACAGTCTAGTGACAAAAAAAGTCAACGTGAAAAGTTTAATGCTAAATTAAAGTGTTTTAAATTTTAGTGATCAAATTAATTCATCAATTAAAATTAAGGTATTAATGAGATAGTTTACTCTGTTTTTTTTTAATTTAATTTTAAATTAATTGACATCATTGTTATTGCAACATATCGGAGGTTGTAAGTAGATGTGCACAAAAAATCTAAATATTCGATTTTGTGCAAAAAAATATTCGAAATCGAATTTGGGAAAAATCTGTTTTGGGAAAAATCGGTTTTTTTAAAATCGGATCGGATATTTCAAAACCGGTTTGGAAAAAAACCAGATAAAAAATTAGTTTTTCATCCGGAAAAAAATCCGGTCTGGGGTTTAAAAATTCAGTCTGGGGTTTAAAAATCCGGTATGGGTTTAAAAAATTGGATGATCGGATTTTTTACCGGATTAAAAACCGGTTTTTTTAAAAAACCGATTTTTTTCAAACCGAAACCGGTTACATCATCCGGCCCTCCAAACCGGTTATGATCTGAACCGGTTTTTTTATAAACCGATTTTTTGGCTTAGTGAAAAAAATGGATCGGTTTTTATCCGATCCGGATCGGATTTAAATCCGGCTATGTGCATCTCTAGTTGTAAGTTTGAGAATAATCTCTTTTAAGAGTTTAAAAATTATGAATAATTTAAACATTGTATAAAAATTATATTTGACTTTATTATCAACTTAATCTTAGTTTGATTATCCTTGCAAAATCCTAAAGATTATGAATTTCAGTTTTTATTTAAGCTTACAAAGAGTTTGAGAGTTAAGTGTAGTTTAAATATTATATAAATAATAATAATTTATCGTTGACTGTATTTTATTTTAATTGACATAATTATTGTTATAACATTAAAAACGACGTAAATTGAAATACACCCAAATAAATGTTGATTTTTTTAATCCTTCCTCAATATATCAAATAAAAATCATTAATCAATCATCATCTTTATATTTTAAAATTATCACATTAGATAGATTTTATAGTGAAAATTAACTACATATCTAATCTCATTTAAAAAATAAATTTATTCTTAATACATTGGATGGTAAAATATTTTCTAATGATTTTAATCATAAAAATATAATTATTCAATTTGTTGTGAAAAAAAATCAAATTATACGTAAAAACTATGGTTTTAGAAATTTCTTTATTAGTTGATGTGTAGAAAATTTATAAAATTAACAACAAATATTAATCACAAATACACATATGTACCTAACTTTTAGATTTGTGATTGTATAATTGTGTGCCTAATTTTCATATTTGTATGTATAACAGAATAATTTATAGTAAAGTTATCCTAATTTTAGTTTGGATGTCAAATTACTAATTATATATACATTAAAATACAAAAATCAAATGTCAAATTTGCTTACTTTAAAAAAAGTTCAATCAAAATATCAGTTTTGTGAAAGAAAGAATGGTAGATAGAGGTAGGCTCCCAAGTTAGCAGGCTAATAATTTAGCACTGAAAATCCAAGAGCTTAATCAATAATCAATTGGTCTAATACGATGAAATATTAAATTTCTTAAGTAAGATCGGAAATTTGTATCATTATATTTGCATATGGAACAAATTGAATTGTAAGAGTTAATCCTATATTAGAAAAACAAGATATAATTCATACCAAAACCGGGGCTTAAGGCTTTCCCCGGGTCAACTGTAGGAGATGACATACTCAATCCATCATGGCTTTAGAAGCAAAGTATTGATGCCTCCAACATTGGCCATGAGATTTTCTGAGAAAGCATCAAGATATTTCTCAACATTAATTCCATATGCTGCTGAAATAAAGCAAGTATTAAGAATTGTACATCATCATGATATGATGTAGACATAAAACTGGAAACGTATGAAACAATAGCCAGAATCCGTAAACCAACCAGCATCACATCACGATTTTCAAAACCCTAGGCTAGTGAACTACAAAAAGGTCATTTTCTTTTTGCGGATAAAGAGCGTGAACAAGGTCAAAGTAAACTTCTAGGAAAAAATTGCAAATTTTTATGTGCTGGGAAAGACTGAAATATGCAATTCATAATACAGTTTCTGGAACTTGAATTCTTATATGCTTAAAATCAATATAGGAAATCTGTTCAAGCAACTAAGAATGTGATTCACCTCTTTGTATTCAATGTAACTCAACTGTTTCACAAGGGGTAATAGAATTTACTGTGCTAAAATATCCGCCCAACAATATTCAACATTTGCAAAAGGTCAAAAGCAAAAACGAAAAGAAGATGCTTATATATAAGCCTAAATCTAAACTACAATTACATGAAGAACAAAAGCCTTTTTTCATGGAGATATGAGAAGAAACTAATAAATCAATTACAAAATTGAAACTTCCAAGTATCTTTACAATACCTGCATCATTGGAGTAACAAAGAACGCTACCGCATTACCTGATAGAAATGTAATTCATTAAACCCAGCAACAACTAACAGAAAACCTATTATCATCATGTCTCAACTTTCTTAGCTCCCTCAAATGTTCATCATTTGAAATATTAAGAGAACTACGTAGGTTAGTCACCTTTTCTTCTTTTTACCAAGTCAAAGGCCCAGATGCATGCACTGTCCCCAGAGCTTTCTGATAGGCATGCAGCTCCGACCTATGGAAATCTGTTCCCAATTCCACACTAGTGGAAACAGGACTTCCTTCTTCTCCACAACTCCTTTCAGAATATGAGTCGGCATCACTACAATAATCCTCAAAGTTTACACAACCTTTTGTTACATGACTAGGAGACAAGACCATTATTCCCTAAACCACTACAGCTACCAACAGACGATGCACAACTCAAGGTATCACTGGTATCATCAATTCTACAAAAGGAAGAAGGCGTACATCTTTCAGCCAGTATATTATTTGGGGAGACAAACACATCTACCTTTTCAGAAGCTGGACAAGGAATGCGCACTATTAGTCTTTGACCACCAATACTACCTTTTTCAATCACCTTCGTCTTTTTTCCACCAGCATCCGAGAAGCCAGGCGAAGATCTTTTCCTCTTCGATGGTCCAGGCGAATTCGACGAGCCCTGTTATCGAAAGAATCAATAAAATCCAGCGAAGATATTAAAGAAACATGTCAAAATTTGTAGTCCAAAGAAAGATTGAAGAGAATTACATTCCCAACAAGGAACCATTTGCCATCTTCCCAAGATTTTCGTACACGCAATCGAGATTGATGTACACTGAGTACTCTATTCGATCCAATAATCCTAACGGAAAAGTTGTTTCCACCGAAAGCTCTAACGATCACCGCCGGTTTCCAGTATAACTCGTCGAACACTTCCACGACGTCGCCAGGAACCCAATCGTCGGTCCTGTTAATAGGAGGAGGGCAAGGCCTGATCACTTTCCTGGGCACTCTCTCCACCGAACCCGCCTCGCCGGTCATCGGAAACCAACCGTACTTCACGCTGCAACTGTGACCGTAGCCGGATATAATCTCGGCACAGCGCCACGCGCCGGTTGGAACTTCGGTCCTGGTTAACACCTCGACTTTGCTACCTTTTCTGAATCTCATGATTGGTCAATTAGAATTTCAGTAAAATGAAAATAGATTGCTGAATTGAATTTTTAGGAAGAAAACACAAGTATTTGTTTTTTATTGAATACATGGAAGTAAAGGAGTCCTAATCTGTTCCTTGGTTGGTTATGTATAGAATTATTTGTTATTTTATGTTTTAGTCCTTCACTTTATACCAAAATTAGGATTTATTCCTATTTTAAAATTTGCTGTAATTTGATAAACTAATTTAATACAATGGTGTAGCCGTAGGTCAAAAATTGAAAAATATTGTTAACTATTGTTGATAATTGTAATAGTTCAATGTTATCGGCAGTAGTTATAGTATTATATTTATCAATTTAGATTTATTATTGACATTTAAAAGTAAAATTATATTAAAATAAAATAAGATTTGATAAATACCATATATATTTATATTTATCTTAAAATATATTTTCATATCTCTTAGACTCGTCATAATCTAGTCAACAAGTTAACGTCCATCTTAGACGATCATCAATTTTTTTAACGAAAATGGACGAGTTTGTAACATATGAATAGTCCTGTGACTATTTTGTAACTTACAATAATCAAGGGACTCAACAAAGTAGGCAACAACGCCCTATAGTTAGAGGACCATTTTAAAACTTTTAATAATTGTGGACTTAATAAAGCAATGTCCCATAGTCAGGGGACCATTTGTGTACTTTACCCTTTAATTTTAAACTATTCAAATTTATATATAAAAAATATTCTATTAACTTATATTATTCTTATTTGCACCGAAGAAAATAAATTTACTGTTATACTAAACCTAAATAAAATGTTTGAATATATAAATTAGAATTAAATATTTAATTATACTTTACCTTCAACTTGAATTACATTACACTATAATTTAAAATATAAATATTATCATTAAAATACAAATAAATATAAAATTTGAATAGATAAAAACTTATAAATATTAAATTACACTTTATATTCATTCTAACTACAATTTTATGAGGCTTAATATACAAAAATAAATGTCTCGAAAAATGTTTTGGTGTCTAATTTTTTTTTGCTAAAAATAAGTATTTAACGTTTTCTTAGTTACATTTGTAGGTGCTTACCGTTATATTTTTTTATTTTTAAAAATTTTAATAAAAATATTATATTAAAAAACTTAATTTATTTATTAAAAAAACCCTAAACTTTTAATGAAATTATAAAAAAAACTCTAAAAAACTAAAATATCTCATTTCAACCCTTGTTACTAATCGTTGCCGGCCATTTCCGGTCACCATGATCGCCAAACAGTTAGATTTTGATCAAAATTGCACGGTGGTTCGAATGGTGGTGGCGATGTGGCTTATGGAGGTCAGGATCGACCGAAATCGACGAAAAACAGTGACAGTGACTTAAATTCGACGAATCTTTGAATGTTTCTCTAGGACAAACGGTGGCACTTTACGACGAAATACCAACGGGGGTTTGATCGGGGGTCGATGTTGGTACCGATGAATGCGATGGTGATGGTCACGGATGGGCGGCCGACGACCATGAAATGGGAAAGGGGAAGGGGAAGGGGGGAGAGGGAAGGGACACGGGGCAGTGGTTTTTTTTTAATAAAAAATGTTTTTATTTTTAATTTTTTAAATAAAATTTTAAAATTATCAAAATGTAACAGGTGTTATTTAACGGTCAAATTTAATGGTTGTTACAGTTCAGACACCTAAAAATCTCCGATAAAACCGTTGTTAGGTGCCTATTTTTAACGAAAATTTCTTTAAACATTAAGACGTCTTTTGCGGCAAAGTTTAGACACTTATTTTTATTATAATTAAAACTATTTAAATTTATAGATAAATAATATTTTTATTATTTTAAATGATCTTCTATCGAAACATAAGAAAACATTTTGAATTTTGATAGTTATTACATCGAAAGGGATTTTAGAATGTATTAGATAATCATGCAAATATTAAAGATGTATTCATTCTCTAAAAGAGATCAAAGGAGGGTTGAAGATGCAGGAAATAAGGAACAGGAAAGTCGAGATGCAGAAAGTGGGTAGACAAGGAAATATTATGAAAATGAGAAAAAAGTGGGGTTAATGTTTCAACATGGAAATTGTGAGTCACATGGAATTGTTTCAACATGGAAACTGTGAGTCAGAAGCATGGATTTAGATTCTTGTCGTGTTTTTATTTATATTGTATTTATTATACTTGTGGACATAATATATATTATTGTGTATTAAAGTCGTATTTAAATCTACATACTAAAGACACTTACCTAGACCTAAAACTTAAAGGTTCATATATAATTAAAAAAATTAATTATTATTTAGTCACTGACCCATTACTTTAATAAAAGTAAAATTTAATGGTTAACTTGGTGAAACTAAATACTGATGGAGCGGTCAACCAATCTTCAATGGAAGCGGTTGACGGTGAAGCGTTACGTGACAGCGCTGGATCGTGGATCGTAGGCTACCATAAGAACATTGGCCGCTGTTCTACCTTCCAAGTTGAATTGTGGGCGGTGTTTGATGGGTTAACTATCGCCTGGAACCATGGCTACGGTAATGTAGCAGTAGAGGTTGACAACAGCGAGGTGGTGCGATGCCTCAACTCTGCCGAGCTGGTTAATGATGATGCCACTATACGACAAATCAGAAGATGCCTGAACAAACAATGGAGAATTAGCTTCAACCACATCGATCGATCATCCAACACGCTTACTGATGCCCTTGCTCACGTTGGAAAAGATGGCCAGCTGGGACTTTGGATTTTTCAAGAGCCTCCAGCTGTTGTTAAAAGGTTTCTCGACCTGGACCACGCAGACCTTGTTATCGGCTAAGCCACTAGCATCTAGTGGCTTCTTTGTCAAAAAAAATAAAAAATTAATGGCACTGCTTACGTAGTATTTTTAAATTATTTATTTAATTTTCACATAATTATTTTTTTATTACTTTACTGACTGAGATCAAAACCTAATCCTTTAAAAAAAATTGTACTTGTTGTATGAATAGTAGGGTTTTCAATATTTTTTTTTAATATTTTCTATTTGAGTTTTGATATATTTATTACGTAGTTTTAAATATAATTTATAAGCAAATTATTTTATTTTTTATTATTCTTATAATTTAATTTAAAATTTTCATTAAAAGTCTAATTTTGTATTCGTCTTAAGGTCATCAAAATCTCAAAAACGAATCGAAAAAATATTACAATCATACAATAACATAGAGAGGTGAAAAATTAATGTTTGAAGGAACAGGTCCTTATTTGAGGGCCACAACAATGCCCCAACAATGGCATAGACAGGTCCACATGTGCAGCATTGTTAGGCCGACTTCATTGCCCATTCATCACGTCGGAGGGGGAGGAGGAGTATCTGGTGCAACTGCCGAGATTAAAACTTGCATAATTTACTCGTGGAGTCGGGCAACACTTGACCAGAGACTGAGAATTAAAACGCGAACCGCACCGGAAACCCGAAAATCTTCTCTAAATCACACACGTGTAACAAAATTAGCACGTGCCAAATAACCCAAAGAAACCAACAGCAAAACCCCATCCGCAGCTTCCATCCCTTTCTTTTGAAACCCCATCCTCCTCTGAAAATTAGAACAAATAAAGAAAATTTGCAGTCGCTTTTCCTGACCAGGGGGAGACCTGAGATCACCAAAGGAACTGAACAAAGTCCCTTTGAGTTCTGTAATATGTGGAGAAGGCTACTCGCTTCGCAGTTTAAATCTCTATCTGCACTGCCGTGCCGATCCGCTTCTAAAACGGCGCCGCTTCCATTCAAATCTCACATTTCTCCTTCCTCTTCTGCTTCTCTCCTCGTTCGCCATTTCTCCGCCGAGTCAGGTAATCCTAGTTTCTTATGATCCTCGTTGGAGATTCATTTTTTTAATATATTTCAAGTTTTGATTCCTTTAGGTAGTCGTTTAAATAGTTCTTTGTTTTCTGTGTGAATATTTTAGATAATTTATTATTGTACTTCGAAATTAGAAGAAGAAGTTAAGTTAGGCTTAGTTTATATTGGAAGACACTGCTGTTTGAGACTTTGAGTGTTTGTTGATTTGTCCGATATTGCTTTTGCGATTTTTGATTTCGATTGGTTTGGTTTGTGTAGCGGATACTTCTGTGAAGAAAAAAGTTGAGGATGTAATGCCTATCGCTACTGGTCATGAGCGCGAGGAGCTTGAGTCCGAGCTCCAGGTTACTTTTCCTTTTCTGTTCTCTCTCTGTTTGGTTTTAAAATGCGAGAACTTTCTTCTGATGTTACTTTTCTACGATTGAAGATTCGAATTGTCTATGTTGTTTTAAATGTTGTTTTCTCATTCTGGTTTTCTTTTTTGTCACCTTGTTTAGGGAAAGAAAATCCTTGAAGATGTGAACAATCCTGTAGGTCCCTTTGGCACAAAGGTTAGTATGCAAATGTTTCTCACAGTCTATTACAATTGAGGAACACTGACTGATTTGATCATGTCTGTATCATCTTATATGGAACCGATGGCTGATGGTGTTGAAATACCGATGATCATTCCCTCTTTTTTTGCTATGAATTACTACTATATTTTACTTGCATTTATTCCTTTGTTTGGTTTATTATGATGGCTTCAAGTACTTGGAATCTGTGCCCTTATATTTAAATGGGTTTACTGTTTACCTGTTGTTGATGTATACTGAAACAATTTTTTATCCTTGGATTGTTGATTAGATGTTTCACACTCTCATGGTGTGAGTGCATGTTTGCAAAAATGATGTTACCAGCTGCATTATTTTGGTACTTTGGCAACATAATCTTTCAATGTTGTAAATTGTAGGAATTTCCAATGATTCATTCCAGTATTTGTTACTTGTTTGCTATAGTGTTATCTTTTGGTTTTTAATTCAATTTTGGGCTTAATGAATATTAGCAACTTTTGGTACAACTTGTATGATTCCTTAAACTTAGATTTTCTCAAGTAAGTTTCTTTTTGGTCCTATCTCTGGTGGGCCTCTGGTCATTGGTAGAGTAGGCCTGAGTGGTAGGGATTCTTGAATTGTTAACCTTGACCCTCCATGGAGGTTAACAATTCATATGCCAGACCCGGGTCTCTAATATTTTATTTTCAGCAACATTAATATGGCATGGCTTAGTTTGCTTTCTAGATAGTCTTACCAGTTCTTGGGAAACTAGAATATTATAGATATCATAGAAAGTGCAGGAGGAAAATTTGATTTTAATGCTATACTTCATATTGATGTACTGCAGTATTTTATCCATATATGTCGGATCATGCCCAAGAAATAATCTTCTTTGCAAAAGTTTCATTTTTAGTTTGAATTGTTATTTACAGTTATTGTTTTTATTCTGCTTGAAACCGGAAATTTTTACCATTTACTGAAATCATAATAGTGATATCATGACTTGATTTTTGATGGTAGAAATTATTTATCTGCCTGTAGGAAGCTCCTGCTGTTGTCAAATCCTACTATGACAAGAGAATAGTTGGATGCCCAGGAGGTGAAGGCGGTATGTTCCCTTCAATTCTCTGTTTCTGCTCTTCTGGATTCTTGTATGCTTCTCTCAGATTTGTACAGAATTGAGTCATTCTTCTTAACAATACTTGATTTGCTTTGCTAAAAAATGCCAGAGGATGAGCATGATGTGGTCTGGTTCTGGCTGGAGAAAGGCAAGCCACATGAGTGTCCAGTTTGCTCGCAGTATTTTGTGGTAAGTGGATATCATGAACCAGAGAATATTCATTCCTTATGTCATAATCTTGTGCTGATGTATTTGTGTTGCATGTAAATGTCAATGTCCATGCATTCACCGGATCTATATCCCATATATGTATGTATTTCCGTCAGCCCATAGATGGATTTAGCCAAAACTATGAAGATTTGAATTAAATTGCTAATGATCTGGAGCATTGTGAAGCACATAAATAGTATTAGTCTATTCTCAAGCAACCCTCATTAGCTCCAGCCTTTTTTAACCAGTAGAGTACGATATCTCTAATAATTTATATATTTTTTTGCAGCTGGAAGTTGTGGGACCTGGAGGACCTCCAGATGGACATGGCGATGATGATCATCACTAAATCCAGCTTTCGGTTTTTTCCTGTTGGAATAAAATTGCAGAAGATGATGGAATGATGTTCCAATAAACAATGCACCTTCAATGTTGAGAAAGCATTTTTATGATTCGTTTGGTTTTGAGACGGTACTCGTTTTTCTTCTAATGCTACTTTAGACTGATACACAGGTATGAGATGATCTTAGTTAACTTGAAGTGCATCAGCAAATAAATAAATCTGCATCTTTTCCCATTCTTACAATGAACTTCCTCTTGTCAAGTTTTGGAGGATAATGTTATCGTACTTGTATTGTTTCAGGCATTTGGATTCTATGTTACTAGTACAGTTCCTTTTCACTGTTGCTTCGATTTGTAAGTTTTTGGGATATTTTATTTTATTTTAATATTTTTTATGCTCCATCTTTGCCATACCAATAGCTTTCTGCATATTTACCAAGATTTATTTATTTGAAGTTTTTAAAAACTTTTACTTGTGTTGTATCTCATCTATTTTAGCATTTCTTCTAATATTATGTTATGTTCTATTTCTATTTTCTTTTCAGAATCATACTTAATGTTATATTTTGTTTTTATTTTAATATTCCGTCATTAAGTTTGACTATTGATATAATAGAAATGGTATGATGATATGATCTAATAATGATTTTAGTTTTAAAACGCACGCACTATCATAATTTGAAATAATTTTTTAATATTTAAAATATGTAATTAAATTATTAATAAAAATAATTAATAAAATATTAAATCATTTAAATTTTGAATGAGATCTAATGTTCAAAAACTGAGAGATACGTAAAATGGGATGGAACATATTTCAGTCATTTTCCACTTCCATTAGCAAGGAATATACTCCATCTCATTGAACGTGGCAAAATAAATATTTGTCAAATCTCCATATACCTTTATATCTTTCTCTTTCCTTATGGCAGTTTGGCTGTATTCTCCATGGAAAACAAAACATCAAAATCAATTGTAAAATATTTTCATTTTAGTCACTTAAATTTAAAAATTGCAACATGACCGCTGAACTTTCTACAATTTAAACTCTTCAATTTAGTTTAATTTTAGGTAGATTTAAAATTAAATAAATTAAAAAAAATATTTCTTAAATTTAATTATAACATTTCAATATAAAAAAATTATTTTCATCATTTTTTTAAAAAAAAGGTGTATTATTCGTCGGTTGGGACGGATTAGATCTAAAAAAGTTTCTAATCAAAGATTAACTCAGTCATTCCCATGAACACCTCTAGAATAAGGCCTAAACACGACACATGGACCTCTTCTACGAGGTAATATTACCATTTTAAGTCTATTAATTTCTTAAGTATTTTGAATTATTAAATAATAATATTTGATAATAGAACTTCTATTAATTATGTTAAAATTAATAAATCTTCTACTAAACTTAAATTTTATAATCTAAATATTATTTCATATTTTAAGAGAAAAATAAACCTTATTTTTCTTTATTAATCTCATATTCTTCAAACGAATTAAGCAATCCCAATGGTTAAAAGGATAATCGTTATCTCTAGAGGTCCCGAGTTTGAGCACGCATTTGCAGGGGTATTAGAGTGTTCAGTGCAAAATGAATGAGAGACTTTTGAACAAATATTACCTTATAATCAACCAAATAAAGATACTAATACAATAGCGAATCCAAAAATTAAAAAAAAAGATCCCAAATTTTTGTACACCTTTTTTATAAAAAAATATGAGTATATATATTTTTTATTTTCCTTCTTTTCTTTAACACATTAAATTAATTTTTTATAATTTGCTAAAATAATATAATACACTTGCTCTCTAAGTGCATCCTTCCCTTCCCTGCTGACCAACAATAATGAGCTGCTAATTCTGGATTCCATTATCGAAACGAAATACATGCAGATATATAGTTGCAATGCTTTTTATCACCATTTATTAGTGAGAAAAGAGATGGGAACATTTTTCCAAACCATAAACAAGGAATATACACAAATCTCGATGAAGGTCTCAAAATCTCCATATTCTTTCTTTTTAAGGCCTTCTTCCACACGGCAACTTGCCTTCTTTTTAAGGGTTCTTCCGCACGGCAATGTGCCTGCATGCATGGTTTCAACTTTCATTACAAGTAAAATAACAAATAAATAAAGGGTAAACTACGCTGGTAGTCATTGAACTTTTAAGTAACTTTCACTTTGGTAACTGAGCTTTTAAAATTTGCATTACAATCATTAAACTTTTAATTCACTTTCATTACGGTCATTACCGTTAGTTGTCGTTAATAAATATTCACGTAACATGTTAAAGTCTTCTTTCCCAAAAATCCTAAGATTCTAAATTTACAGCCCATGTCAAGACCCAAATTTATGATGAACAGAATGATTGTTGATCAAGCCCAACGTTGGGAAGGATCCGTTTAGCCAGAAGATTAACATAATTTAGTTTCAAGATGATCCGACGATAGACAATGACATATAAAAAAATTTATAACTTTTAGTTTTGATTGAAATTTGAGAAAATTAAAAGGTTTTCCGACGAGTTTGAACCGAATGATCTAAAGAGAAAAAGAAAAAAGAGTTTGATGACCTTTTTGACCGAAGAAACCACCTACCGACGATAAAAATGATGACAAAAAAAGGTGACAGTCCAATAAAAACTAAAAGCTATAGCTTTCTTAATACACCATTATTAATCGTAGGGTAAACTTAGAATCAAACTATGTTAATTATTTTACCAAACAAAGTCTTCCTACTATTGATATTGATCGACAACCGTTTTCTTCATCAGAAACTCAAATTTTGCAATTACTCTCAATTTAAAAAATTAGGTTTTATTTGGGGAGAATGCCTTACCATGTCACATCAATATTTTTAAATGACAGTGACAATAATGAGAGTGAATTAAAAGTTTAATGACTGTAATGTAAGTTTTAAATATTTGATGACCAAAGTGAAAGCATCCTAAAATTTCAATTACCACCAGTATAGTTTACCCATAAACAAATGAATAAAGATGACTTTCATAAGTTTATAGGAGCCTAGAAGTAAAGTTACACGGGATATCTAAATAAAGACAACCTAATATAAAACTAAGGAAATGTGTTATTAAAAGTATTAATATTTTTTTAATATTTTCGGTAGAGTGTTACCTAAAATATTTTTTTTTTCTACCGGAAGTATTAATATCGGAAATATTTATTTTAAGTAGAGAAATTAATATTTCAAGTAGATAAATTAATATTTCCAGTAGAAAAAAATAACATTTTAAGTAGCGCTCTACTGAAAATATTAAAAAAATATTAACATTTCCGATATCTCATTTCTTTAACCTTATATTATACTTCTGTACAACCGAACTACCCCAGCTGCATAGAATAGTAGCCTCTCGAATCTCCAAGTTAATTACAACATATATTTTAGTTTTATAAATTGTAATTTCATTTTGAAGATCTTCTTTGTTTGGTATCAAAGACACGTTAAAAGGGTTAATTTTGACCATTTTCGATGTTCAAATAAAGACTTTTTAAAAGACATCATGTTTCAAATTTTATTCTTTTCTTTCTTTTCAAGAAATAATTGATATTATTGACAAGTGTTCTATTCTAACCATTCATTTAATTTTATACTACAAATTAGGATGAAGTGTGTAGAAAATTTCTTATTTAAGATCTTATTTGAATATTTTTAAAATTTTATGATATAGAATTTTCAAATTGCTGTTGATGAATTAAAAAAAATACTATCAAAATATGGATATCATAAATTCTCCCAAGAAATAATTTTCAAACATATCCGAGAAGAATAGTCAAATTGGATTGCCTAGCTTGCTCGCAGTGACGAAACTTGCTCATAGAGTTTGGGGTCAACTTAATTTTTTTATAAAAAAATTAGATGTTTGAATTAAGATTTTCAAAATTTTGAAGGGTTTAGTTTATATTTTTTCCAAAAAAATTAGGATCTAACTACAATTTTTAAAAATTTGAGAGACTTAATGATTTTTTAAAAAAAATTATGGGAGGGGGTTTAATTAAAAACATTAAAAAAAATTAAATTTAAATTGAATTTCTACAAATTTGAGGGGCCAGATTGAATTTTTAAAAAAATTTAAGGATCAAAATTAAAAAAAATTAAATTTTGGAGGGCCATGACCCTTCTAGCCTAGTCTACTTCGTCTCTACCATCGCAAATCTCTTATCTATTTAAAAATATTGTTAAGGGTAAGCGCACACATATTAATAACACAAACATTTCATATGGGTGAGCACAACATCTTGAGATAAAGGTGGATCCGTCATTGACTATATTCACTAATTAAATGCATGAATAAAACGATCACAATAGTTAAGAGATTATTGTTATCTTCTGAGGTCCTAGATTCGAGCATCACACATACAGTGATATAAACGTTTATTGTCAAATGATTAAAAATCTTTAAATATATACTACCTTATATTCACTCTATATTTATATATAAAAAATTCACTAATTAAATTATTTCGTATATATAAAAAGTTCACTAATTAAATTATTTCCAACTGCAAAATAATGTGCGTTGCAAAAACAGAAGGAAACTTTATACCATCTATGCGTTTCCTTAACTTTCTAGCGATACACTCCTCAAAATTTTAAATTCTCATATAATTTAAGTAATATTTTTACTAATTATCTAATTTCGTAATTCTAAAATTTTATATCCTTTCAATTTTTAATATAAATTCTTAAGTTTGTATCCGTAAAATAATGTATAATATTAAATTTCTTTTTACTTATTTTATTCTCCCACTCGGTATTGATCCAATGCTGCTCTCCACCCTATGTGAGATTCATTCAAATGGTCAAGTATTTTCCATCAAGGTAACAAGACAAGAATCACCATATAGATATTCTCTCTTTAACCCACATTCACTCATTAGTTTATTTTTCACTGAAAATGGAAGATACAGGGAAACCCTATACCTATTCTCGCTTGCATGGTTTCAAAATAATGTCATAGTCAATTCTTCACCAAAACCACCATTTCTTTTTCTCCAAGAGAATCTTTTTAGATTTCATTTTCACTGCAATTTTGGGAGCCAGCTTTGCAGATGAGATTCGAAGTAATTTATTGGAGTATTAATAATTTTCTTTTAATTTAAAGAGTGACTCCATGCAGGCGTAGCTACTCGAACCTGAATCTTCTGAGGAGAATAATATTTTCTTTTATTACTGAATCCACTCAATGAGTTCAAGTGATTACATGAATTAAGCA